AAGAAAAGATATCACATTTACCCAAAGAACCTTGTCTGGCGAGGACAGGAGAAGCACCCAGACAGCGCCAAAGGGGAGGCACTAACAGAGCAGAAAACTCAACTTGGGCACCTGGATGAACGCAGCCCTTGGTGCGTGAGCAGCAGGGACAGGCGTGAGCAGGCTAAGAGCAGGGCAGTGTTATTAAAAGGCTTGATTGTGTGCATTGAGAAGAAAGGGATTGGAGAAGCGTGTTTCAGCAGGTGGAGAGGGACTTGGCGGACAAAAATTGGGCCTGCAGGCAGGAAGTGAGGCTTATGATGGAGATGCTGATGCCTGAGGACACCAGCAGCCATGGCCTCAGCAAGACCAGGGAGGACATCCAAGAGGAAATCATTTGTCTCACCTGCCTGGAGTATCTGACAGACCCTGTGACACTAGAGTGTAGGCACAACTTCTGCTGGACTTGTATCACTGAACATTGTGAAACATTGGAAGAATATGGACCTTTGGAGTGTCCTGCCCATAGAGTCCAGATGCAGAAGGGTACTTTGCAGCCAAGCTGGCAGCTGGTAAATCTAGTAGAAAGCTTTAAACACTTGGAGTAAATTCCTGAAGTTGAGAATTTGAGAGAGACACAAGAAGGAACTCAACCTGATCTGTGACAAGGATGAGGAGCCCTTTTCTGTGGTTTGTAAGAGATCCCCGGAGCAAAGGTTTCACCTAGTGCTGCTCATTGAGGAGGCTGCCCAGATATACAAGGTAGGAAGCACTCTGATTTCATCTATTTCAATCCTTTCCTTCTCAGATGAACCTCAATTTTCCCCTGTAGAGCTGCAGTTTCTCTCACTTCTTCAGCAAATGCAGCAGTCATGGACCAAACCTCTCAGTAAAGGGAACTTCTGGCTACAGGCCCTGAGCAATAACTGAAGAGTAAATTTTCTTGGAAGACTATATTCATGACCAGGGAAAACATTGCTATTACCCAGACATTTCAGCCCTTTCCTTGGCAGACTTTTGAAAACAGCTTGAAACCCTTGAGATTAGCGGGGTGCCCATGCACTCTGTGTACCCAGCCTGGAACTCTGCCAGTATCCACCTAGCTGGTGCATTACTCACCACGCACCTGGCCCAGAGCTCACCAGTCATCTGCAGAATTTTCCCTTCTGAGGATTGTATGCCAAGTCCCCCACTACCCTGTGCACTCAGGAATCACCCACTGTTAGAACCAGGCAACTATATAATAATCAGTTTCCATTTAAACAGGAAGTTTCAGCTCCCCTGGTTGACGTGAATACTGGGCAATGTGACCCAAAAAGGTTCAGAAATGAGATGGCAATCACAGAGCCACCAACACTTACTGTTTTTAAAATTCCATGAGTTTGGAGCACCTGATGAACGTTCTCGATCCTGGGGCCCTGCGATGATTATAAAGTGTTTGAGTTGTCAGTCCTGCATGTGCCACTGAGAGCTAGTATAATACAGGTGACAGCTCCTTCCTCTCTGGGCTTTACTATCTGTCCGGGCTGGGGGAACGCACTGTTGTATCATCAGGGCTCTGCTACATTGGTGGTCGCTCAGGCATTCAGTTCATCTGGCAGCTATTCCACATTCTTAGTTGAAAGAAAAAAGGCCACTAAAAATCAGTTCAAAGTTGGAGCTGGGTGGGGCCCAGGTCAGGGTGGCAGAGGGCAGGTGGCTGTTGTAGGTGTAGCTGGGACCATGCCTATTGCTGCATGTGGCTGGGCAGAGGGGGTGTACCTAATTGCATGCAGTGAGTGCTGGGTTGATACCCTGATGCAAGAAAATATATATCCCCAGTGCTCTCCTGACGAAGGAAAATATATATCCCCAGTACTCTGGGTGCATTCCCACGAGCATGCACGTGTGGTCTGTGGTGCTGCAGGCCCATCTGTGGTGCCGCAAACTGCACATGCCACACATATAGGCATTCTCTGCACTGCTAATTTGCAGTGTGGGGCGGGGGGTTGACACAGGGAGATCCCGGAGGCCCCAAGAGGCCCCCAGGATCCCAGGTAAAGCTTCTGGGGCCAGCCTAGGTGCTTGTCCCTAGGGAATGCACAATCCTGCTCATGGAGATGTACCCTCTGATTCTTATCATTCACAGGCATAATATTTTTTTTCTGTAGTCCCTATTACAAGTAGTCCAAGTTCCCCTGAAACAAACAACCTGGGATTCCACTGTCAGGCCCAGGCTGTCCTCCGGGTGAGGTTCCAGCATGGTCTGGGCTGGTGCTCAGCAGACAGAACTAGATAGACAAGTATCCCTTACTCTGCCCTTAGTAATTGCAGCAGGGACATTTAAAAGGAAGACACAAGTATATTTGTTGCTTTATTTATAAAGTCAATGCAAAGCTTAAACAAGAAGTTGAGAGCAACAGCTGGTAATGAGACTAGATGGGGGGAAGGAAACAAAAATGTTGAGGAGATTCCTAATGGCACGCAAAGCTCTCCACTACCCATGTGCTGATATACAGAATTAATGAGTTAGTGTCACCTTTGGAGATATATTAGCAATCTCCCTCTTGCACTCTCTTTCCTGCTATCCCTCTTTCCTTCAATCCTTTCTAAACCACATTTTTTTTTTCTAGCATGCATTTCCCTTCCTTGTTCCTTTTCCTCTTGCCTCCCTACACACCTATTTCCTAGCAGATCATTTCATTTCAGGTTCATTTCCTTTATCCTCAGGAATCTCCTTTCACTTGAATTTGGCTTATCTGCCTTGCTTCTTCCTGTCTTGTCATCTAGTCGTTTGCTTAGCTTTAAAAGAAGAATTTGTCACAATAATGGGAGACATCAATTATCCTCATACAGGGTGTGTCTATGGGAGACATTTACTGTGGAGCTGACTGATTAGCTCTGCAATAAAATGGAAGCATCTACATGTGGCATTATTAGCTGCAGTAAACTAATAAACACCACTGTAGGATATTATTACTCAATACAAACACCATCCTATGGTGGTGTTATTTAGTGTGCTGCAACACGCGTATAGATGCTGATGGGGCTGGTTGGGGCTTGAGGGTGGTTTAGTGCAGGGACTGCCTGCTGGCTAGCCCCACACTAAAGTACCCTTGTGCCCCAGCCAGCCCCTCCGTGGCACTTTGAGCTGGTTTGGAACAGCCCCGGGCTGGCAGACTGACCCCTGGGTATCCCTGCCAGCCAGGGCTGCTCTGCCCTGGCTCAACATGCTGCAGTCCTGGGTGTATGTGCAAACTGCACACCCAAAACCTTCTGTGAGAACTGCACTAGAGTTGTTTCAGGCACAATAATTTCACATGTAGACATGCCCACAGACTAGGTAAAGGTGAGATCCACATGTAAAATGTCTGCCTAAGTTCTGCTTTCTAGAACAATGAGTCCTGAGACTCACAAGAGAAGCAGCAATTCTAAAACTAATCCTGAGCGATATACAGGACCTGGTTCATGGGGCAGTGGTAGGTGAGTCACTCTGAAACAGGAATCAGGATGTAATCAGAATTCAGCTTTTTAATGGGAAGGAGTTAGCCAAAAACATCCACTGCTTTGATATTTAACTTTAATAAGGTAAATTACACAAAAATGAAGAAATGAGTTAGAAAAAGGTTAAAAGGAAGAGCTGAGGGGGTAAAAGGCCAGCTGGCCTCCTGGATGGGTTTTTAAATATTGTATTAAAGTCTTCAGGTGTGCTGCAGATCAAAAAAGTGTGCCTAGTGGTCCATGATTTAATAGCCAAGTTAAGGAGAATATAAAAGGCAAAAAGACATCACTTCAAAAGGGAAGGTATGTCCAAATGACTAAAACAGGAGCAATGTGCAAACCCTGGATGGTCAAATGTAAAAGTGCAAGAAGTCAGGGAAAAAAAAGTGTTTTGTGAAAGATGTTGAAGTTAGCAATATACATTTTTTTTTATAAAGCATGAGAAGCAGATAGCCAGCCAGACAGCTGATGTACAAGGTGCATTTGGGGATCACAGGGCCAGAGCAGAGAAGCTAAATGAATTCTTTGTACCAGTCTTTACTACAGACGATATTAGGGAGATCCCCACACTGGATCAGTTTTTCTACCGAGATAAATCTAGAGGCAAATCAAACTGAAGTGACAGGAGAGGAGGCTGTAGAGCAAATTGATCAATTAAACAGTAGCAAGTTGCTGGGAACAGATGATATTATTCACCCACCCAAGAATTCTGGAGAAACTCAAATGAGAAATTGCAGAACTCTTGGCAACAGTGTGTAATCTATCATGACAAATAGCCTCTGTCCCACAGGACAGGTGAATGGCCAACATAACATACATCTTCAAGCAGGGCTCTACAGCAGAAAACATCACTGTGTTAGTGTATAAACCCATGGTGCACTCACATCTAGAATGATGTGTGCAGTTCTGGTCCCCACATCATGGAAAGGATGTTGTGGAATTAGAGAAAGTATGGAGAAAAGCAACATAGATGACCAGAGGTATGGAGCAGCTGCCATACCTGGAGAGACTGAAAAGGCTAGGACTCATCAGTTTGGAAAGGAGAAGGCTGAGGGGGGATTTGACAGAAGTCTGTGGAATCAGGAAGGGTGTGGATAAAGTGAATAGTGAACTACTCATCACCAACTCCCTGGTTACAGAATTAGAGTAATAGAGAATATATGTTATGTTCTTGGTCAGTCCTTCCATTGCTGAATTCTCTGTTCTTCCCAAGCTCACAAATCCTAATTCATTCCTTCTCTGTCCCTGCTGCACCAACATCTCTTTATCCCACAGGCCTGAAATTAGTGATACCCCCTTTCTCCCAACAACCCGCAGAATTATGTTGATCACTGAAACCTCACCAGTGCCTCCAGGCCCCTTGGGGCACTTTTGCTCCTTCTGCAGTTCTTCGTTCCAGATCTAGTAACACCTGATAAAATGGGATAGGCTGGTCTATCTGGACTGCAGCCTGCCATCTTAAGCAGGATCTGGATTATAGAAGGACAGGGAGGGCTGGAGCAGGTCATAAAGAACAGCTTGTTTCATCATTCCCACGTGCATCACAGTGTGAGCTGGGATCCTCTGCAGACCCAAAGCCATGGGTGGATCTTACCTCCAGCAAACAAGGCTGGTGGGAAGGTGTAGATCAGATCCTCAGTATCGGCATCTAGAAATGCCACTTTCCCTCCTTCATAGTCCAGATACACCCGGACCCTCCTGGGGAGCTGCTTCAGGGACAGGGGGGTAGGACCAGGGGCAGTGAGAGCCCAGAAGTCACCCTCCCACCACTGCACAGCCCAGATCCCCCCCTCAGGGTTACGGCTGATCTGTCCCTTCCTCCGCACAGACTCTCTGGCGACCCCCAGGGCCCAGCCTTCCCCCTTCCCCACCTCCACCTCCCAGCAGTGTTTCCCCGAGGTGAATCCCTCACGGCCCAGCACACAGCACCACATGTCAAATCTCTCGGGCATGTCGGGCCGATCCTGCTGTATGTCTGCACCTCTGACACTTGTCCAATCCTCAGATAGGGAGAGCCAGGGATGAGCCGTGTTTGGGTCCAGAGTCACCTTCACTGGGAGGGGAGAATCACAGCATCAGGGCAGAGCTCAGCTCTGGGGCAGGAGGGGGCCATCCCTCACCCTCCCCAGCAGCCTCACTGTAGTCGGGATTGTCTTGGACCCCAGAAGCTGCCTTGGCCCTGGACCCCTAAGGCTGAGCAGATACAGCCCTGAAGCTCCTTAGTCTGGCACTGGGGAGAGCCCTGGCCCTGGGGAAATGGGGAGGACATGGTAGCAAATCCACAGGGAAATGCAGGAAAATCTCAACCCAAAGTCCCCAGGCCCGAGCTCAGATGGTTTTGATGCTGGACTGTGGGAGGGTTTTTCAAGTGAGGGAAAGTGAGTGCTATGATGGGACTTTTCCATGAATTTAAGGACAATCTCCCCAGCACTTACCCTTGCTATATGATCCTTGAGGTTCCCCCATACCCCTCTCCAGGTCAGATGGCAGAGCATCTACGGGGGAAAGTGTCACAGAAATTAGCTAGCCGTGGTGCTGTCTGGTTCATAACACCTCCTGGCCCTGCTCCTCCCTCTCTGTCCTGAGTGCCTGTGACTGAGCAGAGGCCCTGGCAGCTCCATCCTTGGCTACTGGGAGCTGCTGCTGCTGTGGCTACAAAAGGTGCTAGATCAGCTCCTTGCTGCCCAGAGGGGAAGGAAGGGAGCTGCAGTTGTCAGGAGGGCACCAGAGAAGGAGGGCAAGAGGCATCAACCTCATGGGGGTCTTGGTGTTCAGCCACTCAATGGCAGAAAATGGGGAGGTGAAAGGGGTGTCAGCAGAGCAGCCCCTGCCAAAGGGATGTGGATCACAACTCCTTTGTCCTCTGTTTGGAGGGGTCAGTGCACACCTTGGTGACAGCTGGGGAAGTCCTGGGATCCAGCCAATTTGCTCTCCTGCTCCAGTGGCCTCTACTGGGGCCTCACAAGTGTGAAAAACACAAGGTGTGAAACTTCACCCAGGCCACACCCTATCCACTTCGCTCCTGTCCCCTCAGCTGCTGGCACTTCCCCTCCACTTCCCTCATCATCAGGCTGCTGAGATGGGAAATCTCATAAAGTGTGGTGACAGAGAGCCCCCAGGCTAGAATAATTCCTTTGGCAGGAGAGGGGTTCTCCTTTTTTACAAACCCTTGCATAAGATGGGGAGGTATATCTGAAACCCATCTCTAATTTAATGTAGAGTCCTAGGTCTGGTGGCCAGAAAGAGAGTGTCCAATGGCTTTTTCCTGGAGCCTGCATTATCAGCTCAGTGGGTTCAGTTTCTCCCTCTCATTAAAGAGACACAGGCTTGAGTAGGGACTAACTGCCCAGACCCCAGATGATTAATGTGCACAAATGAACTCTGGAGCTTATTGCTCTAGAGTTGTTTTTGCTCCTGGGAGCACCATTTTGAACATGCACCCAGGAACACAAAACTCCAGAGCATATTGCTCTAGTTTATTCATGCATAGCACATGGAGCCTGGTTGGAGTAGCCTGGGCTGGCAGGGGACCCAAGGGGTCAGCCTGCCAACCCAGGGCTGCTCTGACCAGGCTCCATGTACTGTGGAAGTGCTGGCTGAGACACAAGGATGCTTCAACGAGGAGAGCCTGTGCCTCAACAGGCAGCCCAAGGGCAGAAGCACCCTTGTGCCCCAGCCAGCCCTGTCAGTTTATTAACCTACTGTGACATAATAGGGTAACACGTGTAGATGGCGACATTTTAAGTGCAGAACTAATTAGACAGCTCTGCAATAAATGTCTTGTGTAGATGTGCCCTCTGTCTCCCCACTCAAACACAGGAAAAAAATCCCTATTCTAACCCCATGCCCCTCACGCTCCCCAAGATCACTTGTTAGTACCTTGAAACTTCCTGAAAGTCTCCTTGAGAGTTAGATTTTGTTCAGACAAGTTCCTGAGTCTTATTTCCAGGCCAGGGGAAATCATCCCCAGAAGCTGGAACTCCCCTCTCTTGTACCTGTTGAAAAACAGTTCTATGTTATTCTATTTTCCTTTTTTAATTAAATTATCCTTGGGAACAATGCTAGATTGAGGGACTTGGCAACCAATTTCCTTCATGTACTTAGCCTCAGGGCAGGAGATAGTGCCACCTCCCACCACTGGGCATTGAAAAATGTTATTCATCTCTGAACTGTCCAGAAAATTTCTTGGAAAAAAAGTAGCTGAGACTCCACGGCCAGTTGGCTCATGCTCTGGGGGCCAGGACGATTCCCCAGGGATAAGAAGTGAAAGGCCCAGATTCCAGCCCTACAGTCCTCAGGCAGTCAGTCTCCAGGACTATAACATCCCTATGGAAATAGCAATGGCCAGTCCTTCCCACCCCAGGGACAATCCCAGAGTTTGCATTAAAGGGGGAAAAACTGGGATGCAAAATTTATCAACGATCTATATCCAAATGGTGACCCTGCCCCACATGCTGTGCTGTGCTGCCTTGAGGAGCTGTGACTATAACGTGATATCCAAGCCTCTTCTCAAAGTATGAAGGAGCGGCATACCTTCTCAGTGAGCTTCTGATGTCCTAGTGGGGAACAAAAAGATGGAAGAATGAACTAAGTGTCTCATGCCATGCCCCGAGGAGCCTCCTACTCTGGGGGTGGGGGGATGCACTCTCCCCTCAGACTTTGAGTGCTACACAAGAGTATCTGGGGAAATCATAATTTATTGATCCCCCCCAGGCCCATGGGTCAGGCCTTTCCCTTCCTTGTGCAGGGATCAGAAGAGTTTAATGTGCCTCACCTGCAGGAGGTCACTTGGTGGCTGCTGGCACTTCTCCTCCATCTCCCTGATCAGGCTGTTGAGATGGGAAATCTGCTCAGAGAGTTTGGTACCAGTTTCCTCCTGACTCTTCTCTATCTCCTTGCCTAGCTCTCCCAGCCAGGACAACAGGAGTTGCTCTTGTTCCTCGAGAAACTGCCGCAGTTGTTCAAATTCAGACACAATCTTCTGCCTCTCGGCTGCTGCCTTTTGCTGCCATGAACAGGAGAACTCAGGTAGGGGAGGGTAGGAGCTTTGGGGAGAGTCAGGGGACACTTTAAAAGTCCCCGTGGGCCTGACTGTGTGCAGAGCTTGACCCTAGGAGCTCCCATGGTCTTTAACAGAAGTTGGGGTTACTCAGCCCTATCAGGCTGAAGCCTCAAGCATCTTGCCTGGCATCTTTGTGCTCTGCTTATATTTGGAAGGTTTCTCTGCAGCCCTGGGAGCTTATACCATATTCAGGGAAGAAGTTGATGGCTCCCCCTCAAGGAGGGCTCCCCCTCAACACAGCTGAGGGCTTGCAAGCCCTGCAATGCTGCAAACCATGGTCACAAAACAACACACCCATTCCATAAACACACAGAGCAGGAGACACCCCTTCATCCTGATCACCAGGAACCACAAGCACCAACCTGATATTTCTGGTGTTTTTGAGTTTCACTCAGTTTCAGTTCTTCGAGCCTTCTTCTTTCTTCCATTAGATTCTCCAGGTGCATCTGAATTTGTTTCTGTGGGGAAAGACAATTCCTTGGGTGGGTTTTCCTTTGAGAAGGGAACAATCGAGCCTTTTCTCTGCCATAACCAGCTTTGCCTCCTTGCAATTCCGATGACTTTTGGGGGCAGGAACAACTGATACTATTGGCCAAGCTACCAACTGTATCCTGGCTCTTTCTCCTTACCCAGCTGGGTTACTGAATCAATAACAGCAGTAGGAATAGTACAGTAACAGCAGTAGGAATAATACTGGACTGTACAGGAGCCAGAAGCATGGGGCCAGACACAAGACTGACCAGTGCCAGTCAGTTCTTTGCTGCCCATTCAGCTCCCACTGTTGCAGGAAGATTTGACACTGGAGGGCGGCAGCAGCTCTTGTAGGTCTAGTGTCCTACATGCACCCATAGTGGCAGCCAGTGCTTATCCCTGGACGGGTGTAGGCAGGATCTGAAAGAAGATGGCTTAATAATGCTAATCTCAGTCCTTGCAGAAACCATCTAGCATTTGATTTTGGAACTGGAAATGGTGAGGATGAATCACTGGTTACATCTATGAAATAGGTATTTTCATTTCTACTTAGGAGAACTTTTACAATCTTTGCTCTCTCCTATGCCTGATTAAGGGTGAATGTGCCTGAAAGCTTGCAAATAAATAAAATAACTTGTTTGCAAATATCTAGTTGGTCTAATAAAAGATATCACCTCTTCTGCAAGTTTTGATTCCTGGTTATATCTAAATTGCTGTGAGCTTTGTCATCCAGTCTTGCAGTCCAGAAAAACCTGGAAAAGCTTAAAGGGGATTAGTGTCTAATTTGCCATCTTTATCACAAAGCAAGGAGGCCTGGGAGGTTTTGTTGGTTGAACACACTGTCTTTTCTAATCTGTTACTTTCCCTAAGAAGCAGGAGTTCTGTCACTGTTTGCTGAGTAACATTTTAGGAGGTTTCATACTGAGGACTTTGGGCTTTTCTAGCCCTTTACTGAATGGGCAGGAGCACTGAGGCTGAATGCAGTTGTCTCCCAAGGTTTTAAAAAAAGTCATTCTCTGAAAGCCAAAACACACACAAACAAGCCACAAACCCAAGAAAATGGAGTCACAAAGTACATGACAAAAATGATATCTCTTCTCAAATATCAATTACTTCAAGGCATTGGCAGAACCAGTTGGAATTCATGAAAGCAAAGGGCTTGACATTACAGGTATGAAGTTTGGAGGAGACGGGCAATTCTATGATGGATTTTTGGATTTAGGCGCTGGAGATGTTGCTAATCTAGCCACAGAGGTTGAATTCTCTAAATTCTTTGAAAATGAAAGTGGACCAAATTGTATTGCCACCCACAGCAGCACTTAAGACTTATTCAACTTCCTGAATAACTAACGGTCATGTACAGAAATAGCGTAGTTTCTTCTGCAGCATTTTGTGAGCGGTTTTGTTCCCTATGCATTAGAATGCATGCAAATCAGTCAGAACCTCAGGGTGGTTTTAATTACGCCATGCATGTTTGCCTATATTTGCTAGAGAGTATTATTCAGAGCCTACTGTGCCTTGTAGATTTTCACCCTATTGCCGCTGTGATATAACAAGCAAAGAACATGACAACTCTAATCAAAATAATTATTTTCAAATTTAATTAAGTGAACACATTAGGACATATTTAGCCGTTTTGCCTGGGCTTCATTTCTCAAGAGCACACTCAGGTTTCCATTAATGTCCTCATACAGGGCTGTCCAGCTGGCAGCCCTTAAGGGGTTATTGTGAGGCCCCAGGCTCTCACCCTGCCACTGCTTCATGCATTGTCCTGCTGCAAAAGCAGCCAGTCTCCAGGCTACCCTTTCCTCCTGCAGCTACTGCTTCTGGCCTTCACTCCAGAGAGTGGGGCAATGCGGCAGCATGGGGAGCTGAGGGTGAATCCAGGGCTGTGCCTGAGGTGGGGAAGGCATTGAAGTTGAACAGCCTTGGCATCATATACCCACAAAATTTTGCTCCTGGTAACCGTTCCAATTCCAGTTCCTTATTTGAAAAACTGTTTGCAAAAGAATTCCACATATAAATCACTACATGTCTTATCATGAAATATGTAAATTCTTTATGTTCCATCAAAGATGTTTTAATGAGCTTTTGCCTAAGGATCTGCAAATGGCAGATAAGAACTAACACTAACAATAAATGATCTGAGATGAATGGGGAACCAGCTTCATACCCCAGTTTTAGAATCATTCCTCGACATCTCGCTAACGTATAATATACATCTCCAAGAGCACCCGTTTTTAACAGAAACAATTTGAAACAAAAGGACATGATCCTACAAATCTCTCCATTTCTCTTGCCTCATTACAGGACGTGTGTGTGTGTGTCGGGGGGGTGCATGTGTGTATAGGGAGGGGGTGTATGCGCATGTGTGTATGGGAACATATGTGCAGACTCTTTCATAGAAAAAAACACTCTGAATTCAGTGCTACAGTTACAGGAGTAGCAACGGCAGAAAAAAAATCAAGTACAGCAAACCCAGTTGTGCAGTCTGATCCGACCCGACACCCCCTTACCTTGTACCACTGAGCAGCCTCCTGGATGGGAGCCACAGCATGAGCCTGGTGTGCCCAGGACTCTCGGCAGATCAAGCACAGAGGTTTTTGGTCCGTTTCACAGAAGAGCTTCAAGGCCTCCCCATGTTCCTCACACACTCGCTCCCCTCTTTCAGCTGCCCGCATACTCAGTCGCTTTGCCACATCTGTAACAGTCACCAGCTGCCGGTTAGGCCTGAGGTTCCTCTGGGGAAAAGTCTCTCTGCACTGAGGACAGAAGATGTCTGTATGCAACCCTTCCTCGCACTGGGTGATGCAGACTTGGCAGAAGTTGTGCCCACAGTCTGTAATCATCACTGGATCCTTGAAGAACTCCAGGCAGATGGAGCAAGTTGCGGCATCCTGGAGACACTGTATATGGTTCTCTGCAGCCATGGCTCTGAAAGGAGAGCAACTGAGAATTAGTTTTATTTCCTGGGGCCCAGAAACATGCTCAGACCTATATACAGTTGGGTGTTTCGCTTCCTGAAGAATGGTTGTTTTCTGCTGAAATGGCAGAAGTCTGTGGTTAAAATAACAGCTATTAAAGTCATAGTGAAACTTGTTAATGCTTTGTGTATCAGTAGTGGGAGCAGTTACAACAAAACCAGAATTTCTTAATTACTTTTAGACACAAATTCAAAGCCCCAAACATATCTGAATGACACTTCTAAAAATCAAACACTTTTTCAGCCTAAAACTATTGAAAGAAGACACTTTAAGATGAACATTTCCCTTTTGGAAAAAAGAATAAACAGCAAACACGCTTCAGTTTGTTTCTGATTTCTCAAAAATCCCAGTTTCCATTTCAAAAGCTCTTTGGCCATGGACTGACATTGCATGTGTAGAAGCTCAAAACCCATTTGTAGCACTAGGAAAGTGGAGGGGACAGATGTGTGTACCCCATATGGCAGTACTACATGTTCTTGTTTTATGCAACAACTTCTCTATAGTGCTACATATTCTAGCACTGCAGGTAACATCTCTACTATTACATGCCCTGGATCCCCAGCATCCTTCAGGGTGCATCAACATGAGATACTTTACTGCACAGTAGACTGATCTACTGCATAGTAAAGCATCACTCTGTAAACTTTCACAGCAGGTACTGCACAGTTAATTAAGCTAACTCACAGTTTTCTACTAGATTAACTGCTCATTAGCCATTGTGCAGTACTGCTTATGAAGCTGCTGACCAGGAGCAAATTTGCTCCCAGTCAACCACACCAGCAAGGGGCCACAGGGGATGGAGGGGTTCTCTGTCCCTGGTCCTGGCGCTGGGAGCTGATCAGTGCTGGGATGGAGTTGCTTTCTGACCTCCCTGTCTTGGTGCTGCATGGCTCCCAGCTCCCTACAAGGCAGGGATAGCAGCTGCCTTACAACTGGGACAGCCCAGCCTGGGGTTTGCTGGCAGCTGTGTCCCCTGATGTGCACAGGGCCAGGAGAGCTCTGTCAGCTGCAGCAGCAGCAGTCTCCTGGCACCATGCACATCAGGACTCCTCCCAGAGTGCATGGAGCCAGGAGACACCTGCTGTTGCAGCTGGCAGAGCGTTCCTGGCCCTGTGAGCATTGGGATCAACTCTCATGCCCCCTGCCAGCACCGGGCTAGCACTCTGGGGAAGCCTGGGCTCCTTTGGCTGCTGTCGGGGGCAGAGCAGGGCAGGAGCTCTGTACTGGGCTGCTCCCATTGGGAACAGATTTGCTATCAACAGGGTGCGCATACCTGGGGAAGGTTTACTGTGCAGTATTTTACTACACAATCAGCTTATATTGCATTAATAGCATGTGTAGATGCACCCACAGCATTTTGCTTCCCCCAACCACTTCCAGGCTGGAGGGAGGGAGAGTGTCTTGTTCCATGGCAGCCCCCTGGTAAAGCAGAGCTGCAGCCCAGCTATCACAGTGTACTGATGCCTTGGTTTCAGGGAAACAGGAGCTCTGCTGGCTGTAGTACATTGCAGGTGCGCTGGTGATTGTTGGCAACTGTGAAGTATCTTGAAAGTGTGACTCATTTATTTGTGTATTCCTCTTTCTGACTTCTGCATACATCATATGGGGGATGTCCAACCCACTTGAAAAATGCCACACAGTTGCGCTTGAGTGAAAGGTTTCTCCTTCACACACTGAGAACACTTACTGTGCTAAAATTCCATCTGGCTGAAGCCGAGCTTTACTCAGGTGGAAAAGAAAACTGGCCGTGGGCTGGAAAAAGACTTTATTGGAAGACAGTGGCATATTATCAGCAATAGATCCCTAAAGTAAAACCTCTGTTTGTGAATATACTTATATCGGGGATAGAGAGCTCAGAGTACTCATGGTAGGAACTTTGGATTTGGAACAGAAATTACCAGACAGCACTGTTGGAGGGGGAGGGGGAGGGGGAGGTAGGACAAGAGAAGGCAAAATAGTAAGACAGAGACTCTTGGACTGAGAATCCTCATGGGCAAGAGTAGCTAGTTATGTGTGTGTGTGTAGTCTGAATTACAATTAAGTAAAGAGTTTAATATTAATCAAAAGAATCCATTATTTTCTCCAGCACATGTATGAAAGAGACCACACTCAGCACATTGCAGGGCTGAGTCCCTAAAACAGGAGGGGCTAAATTACTCTCAGCAGTGACTTCTCTGATACCCAAGAAGTGGCATGTGGGAAGAATTAGTTTTGAGCCCAGGTGGGATGGGCAGAGGAGCCTTTCAGGGCCAAAGTCTCTCTGACTCTGGAAAATACCATTCAAGGCTGTTTTCTTCACAAATATCCAGGTGTGGCTTTTAAACTTCTTGATTACTGATGGACCACCCAAGCTCAGCTCAAGTCTCAGAAAGCTACCGAGAGGCCATCCAGGCAGCCCTTCTTGAGAAGATAGCATTTATTAGTTAACGGCAATACGTCAGGGAAAACCCTTGTGTCAAAATACCTACAGCAAATTTCTGGCAGAATTTCAATCCGTCATAAAGTCAGAATGTCTTCTTCTTACACTGTCTCTCTGTGTTGCTTTTCTTCCCATCATTATGTTGGGAATCTCTTTTTTTCATTCAACCTTTCACACTGGGGCTTTTTTGATGTCTCTCGGCTGCCAAGTGCTGTGGCTTAAATTCACTGATATGTTGTATACTAGCCGATTGCCCACCAAGAATGACGGGGTGGGGTGGGCGGGGATGGAGCACCGTCATGAACACAGACTTATGCACGCACACACACGCACGCATGCATGCACACACAGACACACACAGACACACATAGACATGCACGCACATGCAGACGGGCACACACCACTCACTCACACTCTGCACATGGACCCACGGACACAAACACACTCTCCCTCCTGCCATGAACACAGACACATGCATGCATATGCACACATATGCACTGACACGCACACACGCAGATGGGCGTGCCCTCTATTCACTCATTCTCTGCACATGGACACATGGACACAACCACAGTCTCCCTCCTGCAATGAACAGACACATGCATGCACACACGCATGCACACACAGACATATGCACACACACACACGTAGACAGGCGCACACTCTACTCACACACTCTCTGTACACGGACACACAGACACAAATACACTCTCCCAGCCATGAACGTAGACACACACATGCACACTCATGCACGCACACACACTGACACATGCAAGCACAGACACACACACACTCACGCACACATGCAGACGGGCATATTCTCTAGTCACTCATTCTCTACACATGGACACACAGACACAAACCCAGTCTCTCTTCTGCCATAAACACAGACGCATGCATGCACATGCATGCACAGACAGACACATGCATGCACACACACAGATGGACTTGCACCGTACTCACTCACTCTGCATATGGACACACAGATACAAACACAGTCTGCCTGACATGAACAGTCCCCCACACCCACCCCGATGCCCCTCACTCCTGACCCACACGCTCCCACCCCTGTCCCTGCTGGTGCTCCCCACTCCTGACCCACAGCCCTCTGGCACTGCTCCCACACGCCCAACTCACAGTCCCCTGCCCCCACCCCAGTGCCCCTCACCCCTTGCCCCTCCAGCCCTGCTGGAGCTGTCTTGCCCAGGCCAGAGCACGGTGACTCCAATTCATGCAGACAGTGGAGGAGCATGTCCGGCCCTAGAGGAGGTGATGCTTGTGGGACCCCCTGCCCTGGGGTAGGGCTGCAGTGCCCTGCGGGCAGCCTAGCCACAGCCCCCTCCCCTGGCAGCAGCTCCTGGCTGCTCAGCCCCGGGAGCACAGGCACTGGCCCTTGTGCTGCCACCCAGCCCCGGAGTGCCCAACCTCCCCTTTCCCTTGCTGGAGAACAGGCAACCCTCCCCCTGCCCTGTCACAGCTGCAGCCCCCACTCCCCCTGTCCTGCCCAAATGTCTGGCACTTTGCTGTGCTCAGGGGGTGGGAGACGGGGAGGCGATCGGAGCCAGCAGGGAGCTCTGCATAGGTTTGCGCCTCCACAGCTGCAGGCAGATCCGTGTGTGTTTCCCACTGCCTCCCATTGCCCTCCCCCTGCTCCTACCCCCAGAGCAAAGAGAAATCCTGGGCAACACTCCCCACCCCATGACCCCGCACTGCCTGGCCCCTACCACCTTCCCCTGATGTCTGTCTGTCTGTCTGTCTGTCCCTAACGCTCTGGGGGCAATTGCCGCCCACCCTGTTGGTGGTGCATGTTGGCCCAGTGCGTGACAGACAGACAGACAGAAGTAGTATGGCTTTTATTATATTAGAATATGCACACATTTGTTCACTGCATTCTTGATGGCCGGTTCTCTGAGACACCAGCTCTGAGACCCACCTTCACTCCCAGGTCAAATATAGAGCAAGATCAACTCTCTTTTCCCCAGGGTATAACTGTATATAAGGAAGTCAGGGAAATCAAGGCATGAAACATTATTAGAGATGTAAAAGCAAAAAAAAAAAAAGACTGAATTTGTACACTTTTTAAGACAGTCCCATATTCTGTCACGAGGTGTAAACAGGCAAACAGAATAGAAATAAAAATTGAGAATCCTTTTGTTAGGAGGGGGACTTCTCAAACCACTCAAAAACAGTGTCTTAATTGCTCTTGCATGTTGAAAGTTATGCTGGCTTTCACACTCTGTGAAAGATTTTGTTCTTAACAAGAGAATATTCCTTATCTCACCTGACTCACCTGAGGCTTCATCAGATAAATTGAAGCTCACTGGCCAATATATATGCTTCCTTTCCTGCAACGGAAACCTGTGGGTCTGTTTCCCGTTCTGTCTCTTTACTTTCTAGCTATTTTGAACCACCTTAAGGAAGAATGTGGCTTGCTCTTCCTTTTCTCCACTGTTGTAGGTGCTGGGGCAAGACTTGAGGAACCTGTTATGACAATGAAGTTGTAAGGGGCAAATGTAAATGTCCTGCC